ACTCTATGGTTTTATGGATTCATCTGGAAATACATGTCAATGTAATACAATGTGGTCAAGTGCTAATGAGTTAATGTTTACACATCACTTCATGAAAAGCACTCAAAAGCCCACATTAAGTGACATGTATTCATGAACTAATGTGTATTGAAACTTTTCAGATTGAAATATTCCCAAATTTGATCAAATGCTTGAACTACCGTACAAGTGCATGCGTACAACTCATCTTCTGTGCAATTTATATTCTCTTCTATTCTGTGAGATTTCTATTCCTGATTCTGTTCAGAAATAAGATTTTGTTTGAGCTGAATTACAGTTGCAAAATCATGTATGACACAGAACCATTACACCTGCAATAATTTGACTAATGCCAAGTAAAAGTTTGTGATAATAGTTTGAATTCTAATTGACTGTTTTTTTGGAAACGATTATTTGAGGCACCATATTGGCATTGAATCGAGGCCGTTTCGACCTTGACTCGAGGCCACTTTGACATTTCCCTTAAACCTTCCTATACCCTTGACCCAATGTTGGTAAACAAGTGGTTCCAATTTGGCAAACAGACCAAGGACAACCTGTCAGGCCTCCATTTGCTAACTAAATTCTGTGCTTACAATCGCCCGTGAAAATACACTAACCACAGGTTAAAGGTTGTGTACAACATTTGCAAACATTAAAACCTAACCCCCAAAGAGTTCATTTGGAGTACCACATACGACATTTGTACAAAGTACTACAAAACTTATGCATGCAGGTACGAAATACCGGAAAATAATTTGAGTGCTGTGCCCACAATGTACATGAACTGCATACTACAGATTACTACTAGTAGTATTCTGTAGCTTTAGGTTAGGGTTAACCCTCCTAGGCAAACATACATTCTGTGCCAAGTTGTCCTTTCAGTCAAAATCAATCAAGTGACTGTTTCAATAGTTAAGAGCTCCCAACCTACATGTACATAAAGCAGGATTGACTGGCTGTGACTGTTTGTGTACATGTAGGCCTAGGTACCGGTAGGAAAATGATTGATGACCAGTTGTATGTTTTCCTTGAAATTGTTTATTTTTTAATTTTTTAATTAAAAAAATGAGAGGGTAGATCGTGGCAGGATTTTGTCCCCACCAAAATCCAGGTAGGTCGGGTGCGTATAGAAATACAATACCAGTAGTTGGGTGGGTTTTTTTTATGGGGGGGGGGGGGTTAAATACATAATTCTGTGATATGGTATTTAAGCAATTGGACCTAGAGGATTCCAAACAAATACACATGCATCTGAAGTGAAGGCTACCACCAAAGAATTCTACAACCTTATGTAAATGTAGGCACAAAAGGGCTACCCACATTATGACCTTGTCTCTTAGGGTTTGTTACTGGTAGGATTTTAAAATGTCACTGAACATGGACAAGAACAGTACACACAATGTAGTTGTACCAGGATTTTGCAATACACCGCTAGTGCAACCCACAATACATCATGACATCATGGTACAAATTCCACACACAACTTCAATGCTCAAGGTCACCACTGTGCAGTACACACCTTTAGGCAATACTTTCTCCAATTTTATTGCAGGCCTACAGCCCAGAGCAGCTACTGTATTGACCTATCATGGTAGAATCGCATTAGAATCGCGTCAACGCAGCTTGTGAAATGTTGTCCAATTACACGATATACAAATGGACACGGAACGCGCAAAATCTGACAAAGAAAACTTAGTGTACTATACAAAAACTCCATAGGGTTGTCTAAGGGGCGTGGTTAACTCGCAGTCGCAAACGGGGACAGGCCAATTATGATCTTGGAGGAATAAAAAGTAGATGTACATGTACTGTATAATAGTAAAAACAGCACATCAGTTTTGTTTCAGAAAAAATGGGGGAAAAAACTGTCCAAAAAAGTCGGATGTCACTTGCCAGATTTGTCCGACCATAATTTTACCATTTGCAATGACAGCATAAATTTTGTTGGTACGCACATGTAGGTGAATATATAAAACAAAATTGTTTCTAAAAAATATATTTCCAATGACACCTAGAATACATGTATAAAGGAGTAGGAATGGAAGTGTGATGACCTGGTTTCAGTCCCGCCTACAGTGGCCTCACAAACACTGACCTTTAAACCACAGCGTTTCCTTTCAGGCCATCAATAACTGTACAATGGACACCAAGGCTAATGGTTCGACCTCGTTATTATTCATCACACGTTGAATTTGGTTGAGGCTGCAAGTTTAGGTTGTGGCTTCAATTGTTCGTTAATCAGTAGCCAATATGTTTCTGTTTCTATATACACACACCAACAAGCAAGCTTGTTTTTACTATACTCTGAAGACCTGCCATTTTCCTTCTTTTGCTCCCTTTTGTTTGTACTTGAACTTTGTGCCCTTCAACGAATTCATTTTTTTCCCATTAATACATTTTAACTCTTTCGCTACGGCGAGCCGCTGACAGCGGCACATACACATTGTACAGGTCGTACGGAGAGCCGCTGGCAGCGGCTCGGTTGCGTCGCTATGAATAAACAGGGTATCCCCATGACGTGGGCCATATCTACATAATTTATATCGTATAACCTCTGACCCTAGTTTGAGCCGCTGCCAGCGGCTCTCCGTCTGGCCGGGGTGCGCTTTTTGTATATTGTGAGCAGTTTGTTTACGGAGATACATTCAAAGATGGCGGCGCCCACATCGACGCTCGGCGGAATTTCCAGCTTTTAATTACGTCCAGTTGGGACGAAAAAGGTAAATTAAATTCCGTAGCGAAAGAGTTTAACATATGCTGTAATCAAACCAAAACACCTCCCTTTTCCCCTTTTTGGACATCTGCAACACTCTACAAAAAAAGCTTCTGTTTTTGGCACACTAAGATCAGCTTTGTAAGCAGGCTGGCTTAATACATTATCCATACCAATTGTGGGGCGGTAACCAGCCTACCCCGCAAGAATGGAATTATTGTCTGGAGGTGGCAGCCAATGATTCAAAGTTGAAATGCAATAAGTATGTAATTCAATAACTAAACACGGCTGATCTTTTCAGTCGATGTCTCTTTCAAGTGAATAACTTTTTTATTGCTAAAAAAGCAATGGGGGGGGGGGGGAGATAAAACTCGAAAACAGCACGGAGAATGCAACTTTAAAATGTTGCTGTTCCCAGAGAAGTCCACCCATAGTCCTCTATGTACCTGTTTGACTCACTAACTGACAGTCACTTGTGAATTGACCTGATGGGTCCTACTAAAGTGCGTCAACAAGCGTCAACAAGCGTCAACAAGCCTCAACAAAGAACATTTTCTGCATATCAATTAAAGTTAAAATTATTTACAAACTTGGGTTTTTTTACGCGAAATGTACGACGAATTTGTCGATTAGTGTTGGCCGCCAGCTTGTTTACGTGTAGCTTAGCCCTACTACGCATGCGTGAAGTGTACAGAGCCATACTACGCATGCGCGAAGTGTACAGCGCCATCCAAACAAGATGGCGGCCAACACTAATCGACAAATTCGTCGTACATTTCGCGTTAAAAAAAAACAAGTTTTTAAATAATTTTAACTGTAATTGATATGCAGAAAATGTCCTTTGTTGCTTTTTCTACCATATAAAGCTACTTTTAATGTTCAAAAGCATGTACAAAATTTGTTGATGCTCGTTGACGACCGTTGAGGCTTGTTGACGCTTGTTGACGCACTTTAGTAGGACCGGACCTGATTGTTGACTGTTGAAGAGAGCGGGGTAGTGACCCGGTAACAGGCTAAATCCGGCCCATTGTATGTACACCGAATGAATGCAAAGACTTCCAGTGAATAGCCATCCTGCAGCAAAAATCTGTCTTGATCCACGCATACATGTATGACAACAACTTTTATCATGTTCTCATGACAATATGAACATTAATCATGTGAATTACTAATGATGGGAATTTCCAAATGTGATAATTACACGCTGTATGCATGTTCCATGATTTGCTGCAATCTAAACATTTTCATTGAAGAGATTTTAAAACGTGAATGGTTTTACCATAACCTTCCCAAATCCTCTTTGCAAAATGGAGGAATTTGCAAGATTGAGGCTATATGGAAAAAATGTGTGGCTGATTTTGGAGGATACACTGTGCCAAGGTCTTAGGCCGGACCTTGTGTTGTTTGTGCTCAACCATGCATATACTTGAAATCTTCCAAACTGCTCGAGGATGTCACTGGCTCTGCCTCAACATATTGACAGTGATCGTGGACGATTTTGCAGGATTGAGGCAGTGGTCACCCCTCCAAGGACCACATTAGAACTAACGGATGATTTTGGAAGATTGAGGCTGCATCCAAGCAAAAATTCATCATAGGGAGTTAGTTAATTCAGACGTATGCTATCTATCGTGAGCCGCATTCTAACAAACTTCAGAAAAAAATTTCAGATCTTGAAATATTTACTTAATTTATAAATGACTGATCCTGAATTGAGGAAAATTAACAAAAGAACCAATCAACCAAAGCATTTCTCTGACGAACGAAGCCTGCACACAATACCTTGATTAATGCTAAGTAGATGATCCCTAGTATAATGAAATACATGAAAAAAAAAGGATCACTCACCCGAACCAGGATACAAAAATAAGAAAGGGGGGGGGGTTATGGTCCATTTTCACAATGGCATGTTAAACAGGTCTCCAAAAATAGAAATGTTGCTTTGCAAAATCAATAGTACTACTGAGAAAAAAAAATGGAATCAAAAAGGCAAAAGGGAGGGGGGGGGGAATCGAGCAATCAAATAAACTCTGCATACCGGTACATGTATTGTTATTGTAAAAGTTGTTATTTAGAAGTGGTTTTTGGTGCAAGGTTTTTCTTGAATTTTTGTGAGTGAATCATGACTCAGACTCCACGTTTGTGACTCCAACTCACGACTCGGACTCGACCCAAACGACTCAAGGAATTGGGACTCGAGCTTGACACTGAGGACTCGGACTCCGACTCAAGGTCTGAGGACTCCAATGTGAAAATCAGTACAAACCAAGAAAGATTTTCTCCAATTCGGGTTGTTTCAAGAACGCCTCCAGGTCGTGTGAATCGTAGCCCACTGCCAGTAACCCGGCGGTCATCGCCCCAGCACTGGTCCCCGCAATTCGTTTGACTTGACTCCATAACCCAATCTCCTCCATCACCTAAAACAAATTAACATCAGAGTGACATATTTCTTTATTGTCACAAATAAATACAGCATTTGAGCTGTTGCTGATAACGCAAGTAATGGCCATGTTTTATTGAGACATTTTACTGCACGTTGGCCTGGCTGTATAAGACTCTAGATCTTAAAGCCACTGGCATTACCAATGGTCTAGCAAACTCTATTTTAGAAAACTGTTATCTTTTGGGCAATGTAAGCAATGATAGAAACCTTCTTTTTTAAGTCATGATTTGAATTATTTTCTAGTTTTTAAAATGAAAAGTTACTTAAAATCAAAAGATAAACAATTGTTTGTGGGTGCCATTTGAATCAGATGCCTCTATGCTAATGTCCACCCAAACCTGGAAAATTGTCATAACTTCGACTCTTATTGAATATATTGATGAATTGACAATATGGCAGTTGTTGAGTTAATGTATTTACAATGTAATGCTGCCTTCAATTTTTCTAGGCTAATCAGAAAGTGCTGCCTTTTTCAGATGTCTATTTTTTGTGAAATTTCCAGATTCATTTGCACATGTTTGCGTATCAAAATTTCAACATGAAATTTCACGAAAATTAGACAGCTGAAAAAGGCAGCACTTTCTGATTAGCCTATAAAGAAGGTGAGTATGCTTCTAAAGCAAAAACAAACTACAAACTAAATGTGAAAATCAAAATTTGACAAAGTGCGACATGTTTTTGTTCATGCAAATGTCGTGACGACACGGCAGATTCCCCTGCGCCGCGCCGACGACTGTTTCCTGATGTAGAGTGCTGTGTAAGTTCGCGGTACGCCTAGGAGTCGCGCTGGCTAGCCAGGCGCATGGCTGGCGCTCTACATCAGGAAACAGTCGTCGGCGCGGCGCAGGGGAATCTGCCGTGCATGCAGTGCATTATGCGCAAGCGCGCCGTCCCGACATTTGCATGAGGTCGAGGTCAGACGCCATTATCATGCAGTTTTGAACGTGAGCACGACAACCTAGGCAGAGGGGGTCTTCAGAATTGAACGGAAAATTTCACTTTTTTCCGGATCGTAAGTAAACTTAAGTACAACCATCTTAATCATCTATGTCTACTTGTACCTCAGGTGACATATCTAGTAATTTGGAGGCCGTTTTGAAGGCGAAATCTGATGTTTTTTGTTGAAAAATGTTGGTTTTTGGGGAGCAACTATAGAATGCAGGGCCACGCCGAAGCAAGGTTTTTTATTTTGCCTGGAGGCGTGGATGGAATAGGAGTAATAGATATGCAAACCTGCAAAAAGTGCTAAGTACAGCGAAGGAATGCACTTGTCTTCTAAGCTTCTCATGAAGGATCGGAAGGGAGGGCGTGCTTGTAAATGTGTTGGGGGCACTGTCTGGAGTGGCGGAGGCGCGGAGTCTTGGAGTCGCAGAATCGCGGAGACGCGAGGCACTGGAGTGGCCGCAGTGGCGGAGGCGCGGAGTCGCGGAGTCGCAGAGACTCGCACCGATAGAGGGCGCAATTCTCGGCGGAATTTTTTTGAGAACGAAGCATCCATACCCATTTTAAATGGGCGCGCAAATTAGGAAGGGAGGAGGGCGACGGGGCACTGTCTGGAGTGGCGGAGGCGCGGAGTCTTGGAGTCGCAGAATCGCTTTAAATGGGCGCGCAAATTAGGAAGGGAGGAGGGCGACGGGGCACTGTCTGGAGTGGCGGAGGCGCGGAGTCTTGGAGTCGCAGAATCGCGGAGACGCGGGGCACTGGAGTGGCCGCAGTGGCGGAGGCGCGGAGTCGCAGAGACGCGCACCGATAGAGGGCGCAATTCTCTGCGGCTCCACGACTCCACGATCGATTTTCGGAGGTAGGTCGACTGCGGTTCCACGCCTCCACGCAGCCGTACGGAGGCGCGGATGTAGAGTAAAGTGGCCCTGCATTCTATAGTTGTAACCGTTTTTGGGACTGTGTTGTCTAGGTCTCGGTATTAGCTTGGACCTTACTATCGCCAGACCATGTCCAAATGTTAAAAAAGGCGATAAGTTGGGTCCAAGTTACTCGGACTAGGTCAGATGGTGGAAGTTAGACCCGTGAACGTGGCTATATATGGTGGTGTACCCTAACGTGGCGCACTTCGAAGCATACCCAAATTTCCTTGTGTAGTGTTGCCAAACCTCTTTGTTGACAAACCTCAAATTCATGCAGTGAAATACTGGTACTTTTACCTTATTAATGCTTGCTGTTTAACCTCTGTGAACAATTTCGGTTTCATAAAATTTAAGCCGAAATTAAAAAAACGGTGGCGTCCAGAAATTGGGCACAATTTGGCGGAGTGTTCCCTAACGTGGCGCACTTAAATAAATCTCGGGAAATTCCAAATTAACATTTAAGAATTTCTGAAAACTTGATAAATTCTGATAAATCATTATTATCTCTACTGACATACCCAGCCAGATGTTTGTCACAAAATTATGTTCTTATTTTTCGGGGCATTTTCAAAGGGTTCACTTTGCACTTGAAAATAAAATCGGAAAATCACGCCAAAATAAGTTTTTCTTTTAACTTGTAGCGGGTAAATAAATTCGCGATTTATGAACGGGAGTGTTTATAACTTGATGAAATTTCACTTTCTGTGAAATTTCATTTAAAACTTTTGCTCTAGCTAGGCGCTACAGGCGAAAAATCAAAGTGCGCCACGTTAGGCATGTTAGGGGGCGCGCCACGTTAGGGTACATCAACAATACATACGTTCACGGGTCTAGGTGGAAGTGTGACCTTTATTTAGTCCAGTAAATTGGCCACATATGATTTATGGGGCTAACATGCCTATTTGTTTACCTACCCTTACTGCTCCACAGTACGCCAAGCCTTTATTACCGCCGCCCTCAAACACGATGTTATGCCAGGGATACTGGTAGCTGCTGAGTTCGTCAACCTCAGAATCCGTCAGAATCGCATTGTGAACTTTGGGAGTCTTCACGGTCTTGAAACGAAACGTTTTCTTGAACTTCGACGACATGCTGGACATTGGTTTCCCTTGCTCCATGAAAGATCAACTGGCGTGACCGGCCAGTGCGTGTGCAGGAGAAAGTTGCAGAAAACTCCTGGACAATTGACCCGAGGTACGGTACGTGTTCACCTGCGCCTAGCCTGGCTAGCTGTCGCAATCAGGGTGACCGTACGGTCAGAGCCAAATTCTGCTAAATGCACATCAAAGATCTGTCAGATGTATCAAAAATCTGCCAAATTCCCCAGAATTACTCGAAATACGCTATAAACACTTAAAATCACATGCAGATTGGTAGTATTGCCTTAATTAAGATTCAAATTACATAATAAACAGTCTAGTCACACAAAGATGATGTGAAATTATTGGTAAATTTCAGGCAAAACGTGGATCCGGCCACGACGTCGAAGTCCGTTTTCCAGTGAACCTCAGCACCTAGACCAGCCAACCTGTCCTATTATGCAAGGGTTTGTTTGAAAGGAATGAAGCTTTTTTTTAAACAAAAGTACACTTTTTTGTTCAAATCTGCTGTTTTTCTGTCAAATAACCATTTTTGCAGAATTCAGTGCCAGAAATCTGCCAAAAAATCCATTCTGTCAAATTTTCTGTCAAACTCGTTTTTTTTACAAAAATTATGTCAAAGTTAGCCGAAAATCGGCTAAAACGGTCACCCTGGTCGCAATGCGACACTAGACTTCATCTAAATTATTCAGCTGTAAACTTGCATTCACAGAATGAACACAAAAACCACGCACCCGAGTGTGTCATACGTCACAACCATACACCAATAGTATGAGGCGCCATGTGTAAATAAATTATTTAACAAAATTATTTATATATAATTCATTATTTATTATATGATTCAGTTTCCCGGACAATTATATGTAAATAATTGTTTGGCAGTTTGCATTATATGTAAATAAATTTATTTGCAACTGCATTATTTATATATAATTTTTTTGCAACCTAATTATTTACATATAATTTTGGGCAAACTAGAATTATTTATATATAATTTATTTGCAACCTTATTATATATATATAATTTTTGTACACTTTTTTATTTATATATAATTTATTTACAAACTCATTATTTATATATAATTTTTGCACACTTTTTTATTTATATATAATTTATTTGCAAACTTATTATTTATATATAATTTTTGCACACTTTTTTTATTTATATATAATTTATTTGTAACCTTTTTATTTATATATGATTTTTGCCCACTTTATTTATTTATATATAATTTATTTGGTACCTCATTATTTATATATAATTTTTGGCACGCTTTAATTATTTATTATATAATTTATTTGGTAACTTATTATTTATATATAATTTTTGCACACTTTAATTATTTATTATATAATGCATTATTTATTATATAATGCATTATTTACTATATAATGCATTATTTATTATATAATGCATTATTTATTATATAATGCATTATTTATTATAAAATGCATTATTTATTATATAATTCATTATTTATTATATAATTCATTATTTATTAAATAATTCATTATTTATTATATAATGCATTTATTTATTATATAATGCATTATTTATTATAAAATGCATTATTTATTATATAATGCATTTTTTATTATATAATTGTGCGCCCGAAGCGAACGAGGCTATGATTTATAAATAATGGTTTTCAGCAAACCAGGGAACCAGACTACAGCAAAACCATTATATATTATATAATAGTTTTCTGAGCTAAATAATGAAACTCACATGCAAATTAACTTCACTAGGACACGCCTATGTTTTAAATATTCATATCACATAGCGCGCCAAAACACCGCACTTGCTATAGTATAAAAAAAACACGCAGTATTGTGTATTTTGGGTATTGTGTGTCTGAATTTTTCTAATTTGCGCCCCGAAAGTATTGGAAATTACTCTCAAATTCTGTAAACTTGCGTATTTCAGGTCAACGATTCTTAAAAATTACGGAGAAATTAGCTATGCACAACGCTCGCGCTAGCTAGCTACTACGATGGCCATCATGATCCCGCAGTGCTGTCATGTTAACTCTGATATAAGCGCGCCTGTGCTGACACTGCGTGCACCGTGGAGGCTAGGTGTAGCGGGTATCGGTAACGAACTGGCTGCGCGGGAAGTTTCGGGAAAACAAGCTGCTGCAAGTACAAGCGGTACAATCAGTACGCCCCGAAAATAAACAATAAATACAAATGAATACATCAAAACGGAAAAGGTAAACCACGGAAAATACATAATTACACATACAAGACGATGTCTCAAAACCGCCAAACTCACTGGTTTGACTGGAATCCTGCTGCTGCACAATTTTAACGTGTTTTTAGATGGGGTTATGATCGAGAATAAGCTTTATGTGGCCTCTCTGGACTCCCATATATTTGCACTAAGTTTAGTCGGGCACCATTCGCAGTCATTAGCTACGAAAGCCCATTCGAAAGCCCATTAGCGCCACTGCAAGTATATATGTTGCGGATTATTTAATTCGTTATTACGGATTATTAATTCGTTATTACGGATTACTAATTCGTTATTACGGATTGTTAATTCGTTATTACGGATTATTTAATTCGTTATTACGGATTACTAATTCGTTATAACGGATTATTTAATTCGTTATTACGGATTATTAATTCGTTATTACGGATTACTAATTCGTTATTACGGATTATTAATTCGTTATAACGGATTATTTAATTCGTTATTACGGATTATTAATTCGTTATTACGGATTACTAATTCGTTATTACGGATTACTCATACGTTCTGAGTCATTACTCGGCAAGTATGGCACAGGAGTGCAAACGTTGTATGCAAAGATAGCGCCGCCTAGCGGCGCTATATACACAGGCCCCTGGTCACGTGCTCTCCACGTGTGAGAACATCAGACCTAATTCGTAATAACGAATTAATAATCCGTAATAACGAATTAATAATCCGTTATAACGAATTAAATAATCCGTTATAACGAATTAATAATCCGTAATAACGAATTAAATAATCCGTTATAACGAATTAGTAATCCGTAATAACGAATTAAATAATCCGTAATAACGAATTAATAATCCGTAATAACGAATTAATAATCCGTAATAACGAATTAATAATCCGTAATAACGAATTAATAATCCGTTATAACGAATTAAATTATCCGTTATAACGAATTAATAATCCGTAATAACGAATTACACAATCTGTAACATATATACTTGCAGTGGCGCTAATGGGCTTTCGTAATTAGCAGACATTTGTAGCAAAAAAAAAAAAAAAAAAACAGGTAAAAAAAAAAAAAAAGCCGCGTCGCCGCACCACTTTTGGGGCAAGCTCCATACCAGAAACCGGAGACTTTTTTTTTTGGCCTTATATAATATATAATGGTTTTGCTGTAGTCTGGTTCCCTGGTTTGCTGAAAACCATTATTTATAAATCATAGCCTCGTTCGCTTCGGGCGCACAATTATATAATAAATAATGATTTATATAATAAATAATGAATTATATAATAAATAATGAATTATATAATAAATAATGAATTATATAATAAATAACGAATTATATATTAAATGACGAATTATATAATAAATAATGCATTATATAATAAATAATGAATTATTTAATAAATAATGAATTATATAATAAATAATGCATTATAAAATAAATAATGCATTATATAATAAATAATGAATTATATAATAAATAATGCATTATAAAATAAATAATGCATTATATAATAAATAATGAATTATATTATAAATAATGCATTATATAATAAATAATGAATTATATTATAAATAATGAATTATATAATAAATAATGAATTATATAATAAATAATGAATTATATAATAAATAATGAATTATATAATAAATAATGCATTATATAATATATATAATAAATAATGCATTATATAATAAATAATGCATTATAAAATAAATAATGCATTATATAATAAATAATAATAATAATAAAGGACATTTATATTGCGCAAAACCTATATGGATATACTCTTCTGCGCATTACCAAAAACAAACAGAAATGCAGAAAAATACAAAATACTAGAAATACTTAATCGTGAAATAAATGTGTTTTTAACCTGGACTTAAATACATTAAGTGAAGAAGATTGTCTGATACAAGGAGGGAGATTGTTCCATAGTGTAGGAGCAGCGTGCACAAATGCCCGATCACCGAGGGTAGCCTTTGATGTTCTTGAAGGATAAGCCAACAATGTGTGGTCTTGTGAACTCCTGAGACAATAGGTTGTTTGAGAGAGTGATTTCATGGTTATGAGCTCCTGAATGTACATTGGTGCTATACCATTAATGGCTTTATAAGTTGTTAAAAGAATTTTAAATGCTATTCTTTGTCGAATGGGTAACCAATGTAAATCATGTAACAATGGACTGCATCGAGAATATCTGGAGGAATTACAGATTAATCTAGCACAAGCATTCTGAACCCTTTGCAATTTGTTAATCTGAGTGTCAGGCAAACCAAAGAATAAGCTGTTACAATAATCTAACCTGCTAGTCACGAAGGCATGAATAATTTTTTCTGTACAACCACGATTTAAGTATTTACGGATATGCCGGATATTAAACAGATAGTAAAATGCATTCTTACAAACTTCAGAAATATGCTTATCAAATGTCAAGTGTGAATCAAACCAAATGCCTAAATTCCTTACTGAGGTGGAGGGTGATATTTGTGACGTAACGACCTTGATACTCTCTATTTGTAACTTTGATGTTTGCCTAGGAGTACCACATATCAGAAATTCAGTTTTCTTATCGTTAAACAAAAGATTATTCATTATATAATAAATAATGCATTATATAATAAATAATGCATAATATAAAAAATAATTAAAGTGTGCAAAAATTATATATAAATAATAAGTTACCAAATAAATTATATAATAAATAATTAAAGTGTGCAAAAATTATATATAAATAATGAGGTACCAAATAAATTATATATAAATAAATAAAGTGGGCAAAAAATTATATATAAATAATGAGGTACCAAATAAATTATATATAAATAAATAAAGTGGGCAAAAATTATATATAAATAAAAAGGTTACAAATAAATTATATTTAAATAAAAAAAGTGTGCAAAAAATAAAAATAAATAATAAGTTTGCAAATAAATTATATATAAAT